CTCAGTCTGTGTTAAACATCTGAGGGAAATCTGAAAAACATTACAGGCCCTGAGGTCATCAATTTGTGCGTTCTGTGYCATTGTGTTTCTGTAACAGAGTGAAGAGGAGGATGACTTTAGACAAACCGTTACGGAAAGACCCATGTGGAAAACATTTGGCAAGCTGGTGATCTGATACTAAATCTGGGGTCAGGCTTTTAATAGCCAGAGAGGCACAAAACATCTCCTTGACCTCTTGAGATGGCCATAAATATACATTCATGAACGCACGCACACAGACATGAATGAGTGTGTACACACGTGCATGTGGTAGTGATCTGAAACCATAATTAGCTGAAAATGGGGGTGGAAGGAAGGAGAAGGGTGAAATTGGATGAGAGGTTCTCCTGATTGAGGGGAAATGGGAAACAGACTGAAACTAGTGTTACCATTTAGCTTCTCTCTCATGCACGCGCACACACACAGAGACACACACACACACACACACAGAGAGAGAGAACTCTACTGATCAGGAATGACATCTGTGTATTTGCAATGGTTTTGGTACACATCATTTCCAGTCTCTTGTTGCCAGATTTGCTCATCCTTAAACAGCCTGATTGTGGAATGAATCACAGGCTAATCTGATTTGGATTACTCACCTTTGCTTACACGCTTGTCAAACACATAGCAGGCTGGTATCATGAACCTAAATTTCTTTTAGAGTTTAGAAGCTAAAACCAACCTGGAAGAATAGAAGAAACCCTAAAATTGCTGATTAATGTCACTGAGGCCTTGCTGGATCTAAACTGGTTGGTTAGCTTTAGTCAGCCACCAATTGTTGAAGTTCACCCACTTAAAAAGATGAGAGTCCTCTAACTGACCTCATTAGACCTCAGCTATGAGACAAAATGAGAAAACATCTAGAAATTTATATTTTCTGATTTTTTAAAGAAGTTATTTTTATTATGTCTTGAAGGCACAGTGTGTAGGATTTGTTGTTTTCAGCGACATCTAGTGGTTGAATCATCCTCCCTGGTCCTCCCCCCACCCCCACCCCCTGCTTCCAAACGCAAAGGAGTTGCTACGGTGTCTCTCAGGTGTCAAAAACCTTTGATAATTACAACCGCGATGTCTACCAGCAGCTTCAGGGCTAGTGATGTTTCAAGTGGTAAGATCATGAGCTTTAATAAGTAAAATTATCTCAGCTACAATGACAGACAACAAATATTACATTTATAATATTACAACTAAAACCGTTTTTGACGCCGCCACCACAGTTTGTCCTTCATGAGCCTYCGTAGACAAGATGGCGGTGCAAGATGGCAGCTGCTTGTAGTGGGGACCTGCAACCATGGAGATATAAACAGCTTTTTATAAAGGTAAAAATAATAAAACAAGGTCTTTGTCTGCAATGATTAGACATGTTGTTTATTATTGTCATCAGTGATTATCTCAATTTCAGCTAAAAGAATTGACAAAATCCTACACACTGTGCCTTTAAATGAAAAGGCATTTTACAGAAACAGATAAGGAGGATAAAACAGTGCTTTGCAAATGTTGCATCACCCCATCTGAAGGATAAGACCTTTCACATTTGAGAATTTTAACACCCATTTGATAAATTGACCTTAAAGACCAAGTCTGAATCTGATTTTATTTTAGCCTTCCAAAAAAAGGACAGTCTCTTCTGTAGACCTTAATTGTCCTCCAAATCAAGGAAAGCCTGTTGAAAAACAAAGCAGACAAAATCCCAGCYCTAATGCTCTCCGCATAAAACAAAATGTATTTCCCAGTCAAAAGGACAAACCAAGTAATCCTGGTAAAGCAGACTTCCCATTAGACTCTGCTGCTTTCAGGCCCAGATCTCCCACTTTGTCACTCGCCTCCCACCTATCGAAAACACAAACACAGCCAGTGTTTCCTGTCAGTCACTGGGTTTTTGTTAGGAAAGACATCATTCTTACACTCAAAATATAATTATCCATCAGCTCTGCAATAGTAGCACAAGAGTAGCGCTACAAGCCCAATTACCCGACACACTCTGTCTTTAACCTTTTGTACCGACCCGTGAGAAGCTGTGAGGTGGCTTTTCTTGTAAGGTCCAAGTGGAAAATAATCAATTAAAGCTCGCCATGATTCCATTTTACTTTTCCCAGTTACTCCCAGCAACGACACGTCAGTCACACTTGATTGGCAGACAGACGCTTTTATCTGTTTGGGCCATATAGCTTTTGGCCTTCATTGCTGGAAAAGGTTAAATAATGTCTTTAAGTCGCTTGTAGTGGCCAGAATTTAATTGGCTGTTATTGACTTTGGTAGATTTTCACTGAATGGAAGGAAATCTACCACTTACTCATTTTGTAAAGGTCTTGGTTTTTGCATTATTCCTATTCAGCATTTAAAGTAAAAATGTGGTTGTGGATTTGAATACCAAGCTGTTGAGAAAAAGCCACTAACCGTTGGCATCAATGGGCATAAGTCTTCCTTTTGACATCCACAAAGGTCAGAGACTATTTATTACCACAGAAGGTTGATTTWTTCGAATAAATAATGGAAAAATGCACGTGAAAAAGGTTGTTCTAAAAACTAAAATCTGAATTTAAAAGCAATCAAACTAATGAATCTAGCAGAAGTTTAAATAAACAGTTGTACAAATAAAAGAAAATTAGAATTTTAMATGTACACAAACATGAAATATTCTGCCTTTTACTCATTTTTGTTCTCTTCATTCTCGACCTTTCCTAACCAAACTTTTTAAATCCAAACTAGAAACAAGAGAATATATATTTTAAAAAAGCAATCACTCCTTTTCCACTGAAAAGTTAAATACACATGAGCAATACAGCAACCCCTTCATTATGACATAATGCAGTGAAGAAGAGTGATTTATGGCTATTATGACAATATAATGACTGGGAATGGTTGTGAATCACATTAACTTACACTCCTAAAAAGGAAAAAAGGAAGTGACGGTTTAAGACTCTAAAATTAAGGGGTATTTGGCTTCTAATGCCATTTTTTCTACTTTCTGTTCTGAAGTCTAAATGATTTCTTATTGAAGGACTGTAACTACCTGTGTTGTTAGTCATTAAGAAACTGAAAAGTTTTTWTGTGACTGGACAAGTCTTAAATGCTCATCACTAATGTAAACTATTTTGTACTGGACCTAAACTAACTCAATATCAGTTTTACAGCGTTTCTCTAACTGAACRGTTATCATTTCACTGCAAAAATCAGTTTTGAGATTTTTTTTTCCCCCTTTGGTTGATACTTATCAGGAAGTTAATATGTTAACCTTTTTCATTCATACATCATCTGCTGGTTATTAATTATTGGGTCGTGAGGCAACAAGTTCAGAAGGAAAACCCAGACAGTTCCTTACCCTAGTAAGCTCCTTCAGCTCCTTCTGGAGGATCCTGAGACATCTCCATGCCAGACAAGATCTGTAATCCTATCAGCAMGTTCTGGGTCTGCTGCAGGGTCTACTCACAGTGAAATATGGCTTGAAAACCTCCAAAGGCAGAAAATCAGATTCAGATGTCTGAATCACATCGATGTAGAGGAGCAGCAGCTCTACGAGCTCCCCCTGGAAGATGGAGCATCTCACTTCTCTCTAACTGAGTCCAGCCAGCCTAAAGAAACTTGTTTCAGCTGCTTGTATCAGGGATCTTGTTCTTTTGGTCATGAGGTACAGGTTGAACCATAAAAGAAACACATACAAGTAAATCAAGAGCTTTGCCTTCGAGCTCAGCTCCATCTTCACACCACAACAGGAGTAATCTCATCACTGCAGACAAGGCCTTCATCTGTGACTCCATCTCCTGCTGCATTCTATGACTTGTGACCAATACTCTCAAACCTGAGCTCAAGAGATTCAGCACTGAGCCAGAAGGTGTATTTCACCTATTTTTAATATTTTCATTTAAACATACTCAGCATATCTTTAATAGTTTAAAAACACTTTAAACTGATAAACTGTAGAAAAGGGATGTGGTTAGAGACTGTGCCGTCAATAAAACTTCATTTCAGGTAGGTCTGCAATAAACATTACATTAATTACATTACATTACTGAGCCTCTGTCTTAATTTCTTTAACTTTCTGAGCAAAAACCTAAGCTGTCAAAAATCAACCAAACAATAAAAATTACATTACACAAGAATAACGTTTTATTGGACCAAGCTCAGCTGCATGGAAAGAAAGAAAGAAAGAAAGAAAGAAAGAAAGAAAGAAAGAAAGAAAGAAAGAAAGAAAGAAAGAAAGAAAGAAAGAAAGAAAGAAAGTATTTTAAAAAAGAAAACACATTTGACCTCAGCAATTAGCAGTTTCCTCAGAGGAAAGCTAAACACAATAACTATTAGCCTACTAAGACTACAAAAACAAACAAAAAAACCTTTTTGTTGACATGTACAAAACAAACAGGTCTAATTTATGGGAATCTCTAAATTATATCAGATTTATTCTGACGGGAACCACAAGTTCTCTTTGTGTCGACTGTCTTAATTTGAGCTTCAGTGCATTGTAAGTCACCCAGTTTGTGTTTCTGATGACTCTTGTTAAAAGATGGTCAGATGGACAGTAACAGAGGGTTGACTGCACAGAACAGAGTTGTGCTGATATACAGTATGGTCTGGAGCAAGTGATGGCGCAGAAATGAACATTGCTTCAGTTACTAAATGTTGCCATCTATTGCTTTGTTTAAGCATTACAATTTATTGATTCAAACTGCATTAAAATAATAGTAAAATGTGAGTGAAAGGAAATGATTATCAATTTATTAAATACTTATTTTAATAATGTGCAATTTGACATATGAAAATCTGCACTTTTTATAAACCCTCTCAATAACTTTACCTCAAATGTGTTAAAAATTTGTCAGAGAAAGAACACACTATTTGACTGAATGTTGGATTAATAACATGGTTAACCGGCAAACAAAATAAATAACTATCAAAGTTTTTTCTCCCTTTTTTTAATCAGTGTGTCACATATTTTGCTTATTTTTGCATTTGCTTAAATTCTCAGAAAAAAACTGCTAAAAAAGTCATTGCTTATGTGTTCATAAAATAAATGTTCATTTCCATGTTTATTTTGTGCAAAGTTACAAAGAGCCAAACAAACTCATCGAAGGGCTGCACGTGGCCCGAGAGCCACAGCTTGCAGATCCCTGATATGACACCCCGCTCACACAGCCGCTATTTCAGCCGGGCTACAAATGGTGCGTAGCCAACAGCCCAGACGACAGAGCAGGCGAAAGGCAGCCAATCCAAAGCCTTGGTCTGAACCACGTGATTCTGAAACCCGGAAAATAAACAAAGCCTTGACATTTGAACCTTGCGAGTAAAACTTAAAAAGAACAGAGTTCTTGTGGTTCGTTCTCTCTGCAGTTCAAACATGTCAACAGATATGAAGTCGGCTCTGCTGCATGTGTTCGTTCCCTTCACGTTGTGTGTGTTTCTGGCGAACACGAGTCTGTTCGGACAAGTTCAAGTGGACTTGACTTACGAACATTACGCAGAGAAAAAGGTGGACTTCATGCCTGCTCTCTTGGCAATGCCGTTCAACTGCCTGGTTAACGCGACCTACGTCTTCCTGGGACTSTACTGGCTGTTTTGGCGTAGAGGCGTGGAGGAGACGGAGCAGAGCTGCTACCTGCGGCAGGTGTTCGCCCTCATGGCTCTCCTCTACGGTCCCGTGCAGTGGACGCGTCTGGCCACGTTGCGGCGCGCCCCGGCTGTGCTCGACCAGTGGTTCACCTTGCCCATCTTCGCCTGGGTTCTGGTGTGGCTCGACTTCGTTGAGCGCGCAAAGTGGCGCGCGTCGTACGCGGCGCGTGTCGAGCTGTGCTCCGTCGTCAGCTACAGCCTCGCCCTGGCGCACGAGCGAGGCTTTGATGTGGCGCTGGGTTTCCACGTCGCTTTGGCGGCGTTCAAAGGAATTCGCGTGCAGCTGGCACGCGGGGACAGTCTCACAGCTGGGTACCTGCTGCTGGCCTTGCTGTCCTGTGCCGGGTTCGTGGTGCTGAAGCTGCTGGACCTCTGGCTGGCTCAGTTCTGGCTGTTCCAGACACTCACGGGACACTTCTGGTCCAAAGTGTTCGACGTGCTGCAGTTCCAYTTTAGCTTCTGCTTCCTCACAGCCATGACTCAGAGGACCAGGCCAAGACTGCAGCACAGCAGGACTAAACAAGAGTGAACAGCCGAGGGACTCTTTAATTGGACTGATTAATTAACGCACTCTTGTTAACAATGACCTGAACTGTATAGATGAAAGGCTTTTCATCGCCCTGTAGTGCCTTGAGTCATAGAATTTGACCCACAAAATCYTGCTAACACACAATCAGTCCTGAAACATTTCTGCAAACATCCTACATTTATCTTCACTGAGCCGAAGCACTGATTTCCACTTAACGTTTTGGACTAACATGAGTTTAGTCAACTTTTTAGTTCAAAGSAAAACATGTTCCTATATTGGAATTTTAATAGTCTATGTAAAATCACCATGCAAAGTATAATCTTTAAAAATAAAAAATAGAAATGTCCAAAGATGCAAATATGGGGTTCTATGAGTAAAAGACGACTGCAAAAGAAAACATTTGTTGCAGAAGAAAAATCTCAGATTGGTCTACACAAGACTGATTAACAATAAATAGTTCAATCACTATTTGAAGCAGAGCTGTCGGAAAAAAATCCCATCAACCAAATTCACTAAACTTAAAAAAAATGGTTTATTCAAACAAAATCAATATGATTTTTTTTCTGAAATGTTGGAAGCACTTGAACTGCTAAGATTCTTTCTTATATCTACAATTTTTAAAGAGCTATAGCAATACAGTTTGAAGAAAAAAAGATCTTACTCAGCTTGCAAAGTTTTATGTTGGATGTGTGTAATTTCACATAGAAATTATAACCAATCTGTTGGGAAAATATGTGTTGTTCAAAATGGAATGTCCGAATAAACAGGATTCAGTTGGATTTCTTGTTAAAGACTTTATTTCAGTCCTCTGACTCCAATCAGGTTCATTCAGCTCTCAGCAGCACAGGCCTCAGCGTACAACCTTGGGCCAAACCAAAACAAACACGGGAGCTCTGCTCTGAGCAGACACTCTGCAAAAACACTGACAACTTCTTTCTACTATAATAAAGAATTGAGCTTATAATGTTTATCCCTTCCTGGTTACACCCCAGAGGTGTTACCTTT